AATATCAATTATACACTTATTGCTGATACCAAAAGAATGTTTAAAGAATTCAAAGTTGGAGACTTTGTGATTGTATGGATCCGCCCGAAGAATTTTCCTCTAGGGTCCGTAAAGAAGTTGCATGCTAGAAGTGCTGGACCTTTTAAGATACTTTCAAATGTTAATAATAATGCTTATGTGCTGGACCTCCCAAAAGGTTTTAACATTAATCCTACATTTAATATAGAAGATCTAGTAGCTTTAGAGGGTCCTGAGTTTAACCCCAATAATTCACTTCATAATGAGCCTTGTGTGACCCCACCTGATGAGATCCCTAGCTTACCTCCACTTCCCAATTTGCCTCATTTACCCAATGCAGAGAAGATTGAAGCAATCCTAGATGATGAGATCATTTCTACGAAAGGAGAGCGCCGAATATACCTAGTTCATTGGAAAGGAACACCGAAGATAGAGAATATATGGATTGATCGAGAGGAGCTACAGCAGATCTCCTAGAGCTGTACGAGAGCTCCAGAGACACTTACTCGAAGAGGTCAAGGTTTCTCCCACCTGGGGAGAATGATGAGGACATCGACAGACATTATCGACGAATATATCAACGCAGGAGTCGTAGATCGATGGCTACGATCCACAGTCTTTATTTTTGATGCTTAGTCTTTATTTTGATGCTTTTATGTATTAATTATTATTTATAGTTGTACCATTTCTTTTGAGTTTGCTTGAGTTGTAGCCCCAGGGGCATATGAGTCATTATCTTTTTATTTCTTTGGGCCTATATATTGTGTTCTCCTCTATTGTATTGGATGATGAATTATGAATGAAAATTTCAGATTTCTTGGCTTGATCTCTTTGTGAGTTATTGAGAGAAGAAACCCTAGTAGAGGATGAGAGTAATACCCGTCAACCTTCGGAAGATTCCAAGGTTCGTGGCCCTGATCTTTTCTTCTTCCCCTACATACATCTCATCCCCTAGCCACCCAACCACCAGCCTCCCCAAACCCAATTCCCTTCCCTTCTTCCCAAACTGAGCCCCTTACCCCCACTCCGCCGGCCTCCAGTGGCCGCCCAAGCCACCGGCCTCCACCTCGCCACTCACCCCTTTCCACAAACCTAGCCGCCAGCCCTTCCATTGATTCATAAATTTGAAATTCAAATTTCAAAAGCCCATTACACTCTTTCCTAAAATATATTTTGGTAATTATGAAAGCTTCCTAATGGGAATTCAATTAATTAATTGAATTTTCAAATACTTTCCTATTGCTTAAATCTAAGATATGAAACATCCCAATTTTATTAAATCTGAGATTAAATTTAGATTTGATTAAAATCCTTATTAATTTCTTTGGGGCCCACATGCTAAACATAAAACTCGCTGATGAGGACATCGATCCAAGGTTCAAACAGGTGTATCGCCGGAAGCATCGCAGATCGACGGCCACGATTCAGAGCTTATATTTTTAGTTATGATGCATTTTATTTTATGTATTCCTTTTGTACCCTTATGTTGAGTTGAGTCATGTTGGGGCCCTGAGGGCAATTTAGTCTTTACTTTTCTTGTATGTGTGAGACCTATTTATATGGGTGTTTTCTCTTGTAATAGCTATTGATGATGAATTAAAGAAAATTTGTGTTTTTGATTTCCACTTCTTGCTTGAGGGCTTGAGAGGAGAGAGCTCAAGGGGAGCAAACCGCAAGACCCGCCAATCGTTGGAAGAGTCCTCGATTCGTAGTTAATTCTCATATCATCGCGCTCATCTTTCTTTTGTTTCCTCCTCCATTTTCTTCTTCCACCACCACAAATCATTTCCCCTTCAAGCTTTGGTGCCGCCGCCCCTAGAGGAAACCGCCGCCGGCCAATTCCAAGGCCACGTCCGGCCACTTGCCGGCGAAGCTTCCCATCCGTCTGATCCTTCCCTCCGCATGCGTCGATTTTGAAATTTGAATTTCAAATTTCAAATTCTTTCCTAATTTGGAAATCTAATTTAGGAAAGTTTTCATGAGGGGATTCAATTTCAATTTAATTTAGATTGGAGTTATGAAATCTATTGCCACATTATCATCCTAAATTGTAATCCTTTCTCTCTTGAATTCTCTTCCTTCCCTCTATGCATGCCTCCGGCCCCCATGGAGAAATTTCCCCATTAATTGCCCATGAATTCAACGCCGACGGAAGCTTGAATATCCTACGGTCACCATTCTTTGACGTAGGATTTGAAGACGACGCCACCGTGGGAGATTACTTGGAAAGAGTGGTTCCTACCCTTGCAAGCGTCATTGATCGCCGACAACTAAACTACAATTGGAGCATCGACGGTCGATTAATTCCATCGTCCTCGCCACCGATAACCTTCCCGTGGATCAAGATTGTTGTGGTTGCTACCGTTCTCGTGGCATCGTCGGTTTTGCTAAAACCTTTCTTCCGCTAACCCTAGAGTAGTTGAGTGAAACATCCCCAAGGTGAAAACTCTCTTTATTAAGTTGTGGATTGTGATTAATAGCTTTTGGTATTGCTACTATCTTTGGTTATCTTTGAGTTTAGCTAATCTACATGTACTTCCTTGCCTAAGCTAGTTGAAAATTGAAGTTCTTTAAAGAAATTTGCTTGTCATTTCAATAAGTTTTACGTGGATTTTCTTTACCAATTCTTGTTTAAATTTCTTAACAAGCTCCGTTGCATATTGTTTCACATCACTCGCTCTCTCCCCTCTCTACATGGCCAGCCCCCCTTCCCTATGTTTTATCTCTCCAATCCAATTCAAAATCTCAATTAATGCTCCCCTAATCCTCTCCTAAAACCGCCGGTCCCCTAGCTCCAATTTGGGGATATTTTGAATTCGCATTAATTTTTCCTCCCTCTCTAATTCGTAAATCTGAAATTAAAAATCAGATTTTCTTTTTTAAAATAATTCTCCACCTCTCAACCAACTCACATTACCTCCACTTCACCTAGCCCAAGCCGCCCCTCCCACATGCCTCTTCCCTCTTGGAAACCCAACAATTCTTATGTTTTTGGAAGCCAAAGAAGAAGACAACCTTGTCCCCCCTTCTCCCCACTAATGTATGGCCGATCTTGAGATCGACCACGGCTTCGCTTACAACGCACAAGGAGAGATCGACATCCTCCGTTCTTCTTTCTATGAACCAGATTGGGAGTACGACGACTCAGTGGAATGCTTTCATCAACCGCATCGCCGAGATGATCGAGCTTCAACGACCCAGAACACCTTGGCTCCTCGTCGGAAGATCCACGCATCCTCCACTGCCGGCTACCTTCCCAACAACAAAGTTGCTCGGTTCCCTCTTCCTAGTGGTGGTCTCAAGTCTACTCTGGAGTATTTTCATCTGCTAAGCCTAAGAGTAGTTGAGTGAGAAACCCTTCAAGGTGAATCTCTCATTATTAAATTCCGGATTTATGTTATAAGCTAGTAACTTTACTATTGCCTTTGTACTTGATTAAGAGCATTTTGGTTAATCTTCATGTACTTCTTTGCCTAAGCGAGTGGTAAACTACGAATTCATAAAATCTTTCTTTGATTTGAAGCATAATTTTATATTGGTTAACTTTTAACAATTTCTTTTATTAATCTCTCGCTAACTCCTTGCATGTTTCACATCACTTTGTTATATTTTTTATTTGACATACAACCCGAATTCTCCATATATTCTAAGGCCTCTCTATTCAGCTATTCCCACTCAAGGTGTCCAATTTGATGAGAATCACTTAGGGTACTTACGGAAGGGTGATTGTTGGCAGAAGTGTCTTATTATTGTTGACTAAGAAAATCTTGATTAGTATTACAAAGAATTGCCTAGTAAAAATTATAGTGTGATGAACAAAATATTAATCGTTATAAATGTTTAATTCAATCGGTTGTGAAGTTTGAATCTTTATCTGAAAAGACTGGACTAGAACCAGCGATTAAACTTAGGTTTTTTGAGAGCTGAGATTATCTGCATTGCTTTAGTTGCCACAACGTGGTCCCTTGCCATCTGTTGTGGGTTTCTGTTCTCAGCCTTTGCATTTAAGCTTCTTTAGTGTTGTTTTCTCTTATGCATCTCCCTCCAAATCTTCTTCTTATGCAATATTTTTTTCACTTCTTGTCTTCTTTCACCTTGAAACTTTCCTTCGAACTGCATTCTGCTCTGTTTGTTGCACCAGTTAACTCTAGCTTCCTGTGGCCATCATGGAAGATTGACGCCATTGGAGCAGGTGGATCTAACTCTATTCATAATTTTTTTAGATGTTACTGACTGGTGTAACCCTTCCACTCTTTGCTCCCCTGCCCCTGCTAATCGGGGTTCCTAAATAAAAGGAAAATCATACTAGTATATCATAGTGTGGTTTGTTTTTAGTGTTCAGTGAAGTTTGTTTTTACATGTTGGAAATGGAAAAGATTGGTGAACCCTTTAAAAACAATGTTTGTGAATCGATTAGAAGAAAGCTGAAGAACACAAGAAAAGACAGTTTTAGAAGTTGGAAAATTAAGAAGAAATAGAACATAATTCTTGAGGATTGCAAGCAAAATTATTGTCCTTCATAAATTTGTTGATTTTGGGCATCTTCTTGCAATTAGCATCGTTGATCAATAAGTAAGCAAGATGGACAATGATGAGCCAGAGAATCTAATCTTACCATGCTAGATAAACTTACCATGCTTTCTCTTTACGAAATGACCTTGTGGGTAGCTCATTTCTTACATTTGGCTGCTTTTGTCCTACTTATTTCCTTCTCTTACATTATTTCTTTCCCGTATGCTGGTTACGCTTAATTTTAATGTGTGGTTGTTTGTCAAGTGATCTTTTTGTCTGTTAATAGTGCCAAATTGATTGATTTTTTTTATGCTTCGACCCTAATTTGGGATGCATGGTAATCTGTACTTGATCTTAGTTAATTGGTATAATGCAGTGTCCTTCGTAAAAGTGGATTGAGATCATGTATAACTGTTCACCTTTCATTTTCATAATTGCCTAAAATGTACTTTATGCCCTCTGTTTTTCAGGACCTCAAAATGAAGAAAATAACTACAGACAAGAAGCTGGTGAATTTGATCCCATTAAACACCACAATATCTATTGTCCGTGGGTGAATGGAAATGTTGCAGCTGCTGGTTTTAGTTCTGACTTTGCCACCGACTCAAGTGGTACTGCAGCCCTTAGTGGTTGGCAACTCACATTAGATGCCCTGGATGCATTCCAAACTCTTGGTCAGATTCCTAATCAGATGATGCGGTCCGAATCTGCAGCTTCTTTATATAAGGTTGAGTTAAATTTTCATTCTTACCTTAGTTGGTCCTGAAAATTCTGATGATTTTAAGCAATTTTTTTGAACTTTTCTCAACTTACCATCAATGAATTCTCACATAGAAAAGTTTTGTGATTTATGAAGCAGAAATTGAGCCAGTGCACTGAGCAATTTCACCTCACACTTATTGGTTTGGAAAGGTGAGTTTCACTCAGCTGAGTTGTCAACAGTGAGGAAGGCTAGATAGCTATTAAAAGAAGAGGTACAATATGAGACGAAGAGTTCTCTTAGGTTAAGGGAAAAAAGAAATAAGAAGGTACATGGGTAGAAGAAAGCTGAGAGAAGGGTGTGCTGTTGAAGGCTGAATTGAGATTGGTTTACGTGGAGTGGTTAGGAGCAGGTATGGCAAGATGTTAAGAAGAAAAGGTAGGAAATTTCTATTTAGGATTGAATTTTGGTTCAATTTTGGTTGGCTAAGGATATGATTTTTTATTTTAAGAAGGTAGTTGTGCCTTTTGCTGTAAAAAAATGATTGGCTTCTCCCCTGCGTATGGGGCATTTTTGGGTGATGCTAGGCCTCCCTATTGTGCTTAAAAAAGTGTGCATGGTCAGCGTCATGACGCACCGCAATATGTGGTCTTGTAATCCATGGTGTCTAAAAAAACGTGCATAGGCCTTGACCGCTGCAGGAGAGAATCACAAAATTTGCCTACTACGTTGGAATAAGGCGCTCGAGTACTTAATTTGCTTGCCATGTTGGAACAAAATGCACGAGTACTTAATTTTGAGGTTTTGCATGATATCTTGCACATGAGGTGATTGATGGTGGGGAGACGATGAGTTTCGGGCAAGAATACAAAACACATTTTTTTTCCTCTATTTTTTATTTTTTCTATTTTAGGTTGTTGCTTCTGTTTTCTTTTTCCTTCTTTTTTTAGAGAGGTAGAAGAGAAAAAGAGAGTTAGTGAGTGTCCATTCACTATTATTCTTAGGTTATTTTGAAGAACTATTTATTTCACCTTTGTTCTACCTTTTTCCTGTTCTTAATCCTCCACTATTTTTATATACTCATATAACAGGACTGTTTTATTTACATTTCAATGTATATTTCTAAGCCACCAACTGGCATATCTTCAATTGATATTGCTTTAGTTATTATTTTAATTTAATAATTCCTTAATTTATCTTATCTAATTTTGCCATATATCAATTTTAACATTTTCATTTGTCATATTTGCTATTGATGACTTTTTTGTTATCCAATTCTTGGATCTATACAACATGTTTAGCCTAATTCTTGTTTTATAAGATTTTCATTTAAGTCTTTATGATGTCCTTCTATCACATAATACTCATAAGAAATTTCTTCATTTTAATCTCCCAATCTTAACTCCACAAGTAAGATCATCATCTATATCTTATTCAATTACATAATATATTCAAATACTTAAACTTATCACACATAGGCATCACTTTATCATTTGATAATATGGATTGACAATTGTTAAGGTAACATCAACTTAGGGCTATAAGTGAATTAGTGAACTTAATAATTAATTTGATACTCATTTATATAATATTTCTTTATTCAATTAATTGAATAATCTTGAATGTAATTTTTTAAAGCTTATCATATAAATGAATAAGCTTGAATATTAAGAGGTTGTTTGGTTTTTAATATAATTGTTGTAAAGTATTCCAAATGTAAGGTTTTTGAAAATATTGTTATTTGGTTTGAAGCAAAATGAATGCAATGTAAAATTTTAAAGTATTTAGAATGCACCATTTAGTTTATTTTTAATGCAGTCAAAATTTGTCCATTTTTTGGTGAATTCAAAATAGATTGCAAAAGTAAAGTTTTGCTTGTTGTTGCATGCATTGGCCGCCGCTCGCTGCCACCTCCTACCACCGTCGCCACCAACCATCCGCAGGCGCCGTAACCCACTAGCCGTCCGCCGACACCGCAACCCGCTAGCCGTCCTCCGGCGCCGCTAGCCGTCCGCCGGTGCCACGACACGTTAGCAGCCGCCACCATTTTTTGGGTTTTACATTTTATTCATTTTACTTTAAACCGAATAAGAAAAATCACTTAAATTTATTTTATACTCATCCAAACAATTCTTACCAATTCAAATATATTTTATTTTTTTACACAGAATCCTCTTTTCAGCAAATTAAACAGCCTTTAAACTACTCTCATTCATCTCATTTTTGTTTAAATGGCTTGTTAAGAGTACAATAAAAATGCATTTTTAATGATAATTTAATTGCTTATTAGATAGCTTATTTTATTTGAGAACATGAATTATCTGATGCTATATGTACTATAAAAGTTACTTATATTTTTTGTTAAGTGATGAAAATATTTAGCAAATAGCTTGGTGGATAGATTACAAATCTAATTTTATTTTTCATAAAACATAAACAAATACTGAGATCTTATTTCAATTCTGGTGAAAAATTATAAATTCATTTATGTTTAGTGATAAGATTGGATAAGATTGTTTCAATCATTATCATCCTAGATGTATTTTGCTAGGCTCGATTAAAAGTTCGATGACTTCTCAAATTCAGTAAGACAATAAATAATCGTCAACAAAATTTTAAAATTTGGTTCAGAGGGGTCGTGCTTGATTTGAAAATAAATAAATTAACTAAAACAGTGTAGCACCTGATTCAATTTGGTTGACTTATAACTTTATATCTACAAAAATTATGTCATATATTCATACGAACAGTTAATGTGATAATTCTCATCCATTTTATGCATTAGTAATGAGTTTTAAGCTGACGCCACTTTGATTCAGTGATGCATCTACACCAAGAAAACTGAAACACAAACTGCATACCAAAATTTGCACAGATCCTTTTACACCCACATTTGAGAAGTTGGTATCCCTCTATATAAAAGCTTGGCGTGTGTTACTTGTGATCCATTTCATTCGTTAGTAATGCGCTTTAGAGGATACCAATATTTATCCATGACGTATGCCCCACTAAAGAAAGAAAACTGAACAGAACTGCTTGCCTGAAGAATGGCAGATTATTTCTGGTCAAGAATACATCTAAGTCTTAAAATAGCTTTAAGATTATATAGGCGTTTTGTCAAAGTATTGTATATCTAGTTAAATGCTTATTGTTCATAAAATTCTTAATGGGTTTTAGCTGGACATTACCGAGTGTATCTGTAGCAATCATTCAGTTGACTTTATGTTGTATCTTGCATATCATAGACAGTTCATGTGAAGTTGTAAAGCTACATCTTAGCAGCTAGTACCAAATGTGGGCATGCTATCATGGTATCTAAATTATAAAAACATTTTTAATTTTGCATGCAGGATGATCATTTAACTCCTGGCCAGAAAATTTTGACCCGACAATCTGTGAGCAAAAGCAGGAGGAAACGGTTTGACTGAATTCATGTAATAGTACGTCTCAGCTTTTTCCTTTGCATTTTTTTTTCTGCAACATGGTTTTTGTTGTTGTCTAAGAAATTTGTGAACACTATTAAAGCATCAGTGGATGGGCGTCTAAACATTGGGTTTCTTTGATTCTTTGTGTTAATGTCAGTGATTTTCATTTATAAAATTCAACTGTTTTTCATCTTGACTCAAGTGAAAATTTAGAACCACTATAGCCTAAGTTTCCAAACCCATTACCAAATATCAAGTACGAGATGTATCAGCAGCATCCTATATCATTTTTTAATGAAATTTTCTATTATTCATTTATTAAGTTGTTGATCTCTTTTCCACTTCAGTCTTCTTGGCATTCAGGAGTGAACTTAGGCTCGGTTTCCACCTTGACTTGCGATCCCAAAGGGGTCACATCCACACCACAGGATGTGGTTTCAAGCCAATGAGTTAGTGGATGTGCCAAGAGACCTTTCGTGTCATTGAAACAATTCTAGCCTTTATGTTTTGACCACCTTATGTATCATAGGGTTCAAGCTGATGAAGTTTGAGTAAAAACAACAATAGACACATCATTTTGAAGATCCAATCTAAAATGCATTGCTCATGATGAAAACTCTCAAAGGTCGCTCATTTCGTAAAATGGATTCTGCCAATGCATCCTAAATATCAAAAATAGTTGGAAAGGGCACCTTTACCTCACGAGAAAAAAAAAATTGTTCGCACCTCAGGGAAGAATTTTGACCTGCACGAGTGATGAAAAATGAGACACATTAATAATATTATTAATTTTTATTTAAAAAAGTTCTACTTAACAAATGTCATATCTTGTCCAAATCTTAGAATTCTTGTATATTAGAAAATGCCTATCTCATCTCTATACTGTTTTGGGCTACAAACGAATTGAGCCGAGCCGAGCCAAGCTGAGCAGTGATTATTCGTGTTTGAGCTCGTTTATCATCAACTTGTTCAAGCTCAGATGGAGCACAATTTGAGTTTTTTTGTGTGTTCAAGTTTGGTTCGTTTTAAATAATAGATGTTCATGTTTGATTTGTGTTTGGCTTTATGTTTTATTTCATTTCGTCCTTATCGAGCTTTAAGAAACCAAGCCTTATCGAGCAATTAACGAGCTTTGCTTTCTAGATGTTCATTAACTTAACAAATGAGCATTATCAAGCCTATCAACAAATAATTATTGTAGAGTCTATTTGCGAAAATATCTAGCGAGTGTACTCGAGCTATCAGACAAGAGCATTCAGGAACATATCTAACGAGTATTTTCTAGCTATTAAACAAGCATATTCATGAACAAATGAGCTCAAAAAATGATTCTTCTAATCAACAAGCTTCTTTATAAATACTTTAAACAAACAATTCAATGAACATGAACAAATATCTCTTGTTCTTTAACAAATTCATTCTAATGAAAAAGCATAATTTAAAAATAAAATTAATTTTTCTTAAAATAAGAATAATTTATTATAATAAAATTAAAAATTATGCGAAATATACCATATAAGATTAAAGCCAATCTTTATATTTATAATGAAGAGTCATTTATTTATTAATTAATGATTATTATACTATTAAATTTTGATAAATATAAAATATTTATATTAGATTGTTCATAATTTTCATAAGGAGACAATCAACCCTATATCCGACATTAATTAAGTTTCTTAACGAGCTTGTTCATGATTTATGTATCAAGTATGAATTGAGCTTCTTAACAAGCCTCTAAACGAGTTTGATCACGAGCTTTAAACGATTTTCTTCATGAATATAAATGAGTGGAATATATAATTGTTTAAACTTGTTTACTTAACAATTGATTATTTAAAAAAATGTCCAAGCTTGTTTGATTCCCTAATCAAATATTAATGAATGATCTATAATTGAGCCGAGTCATGAGTCACTTATCTCCAGGCACCCTTCTCTTTTTCTCCCATTCTCACAACCTCTCCCCCTTCTGTTCTTGCCTAAATGAGGAAACCAAAGTAAGAACTTGTTAGAGAAGGCAATGTTGGTACCAACAATGAATGTAGCGACGATCTTTGTTCAAGCTTCCTTCTGAGCCTGCCTTGTCTTCCTCTTTTCCATCCCTTAGTTCCCTAGAACCCTCGACACCAAAGAAATGAGAAGCCATAACAGGAGCTCATCAGGGTAAGCATTGACGAAGCTAGTGGTGTTCCCCTGATGAGGACATCTAACCTTGGAGAGTTTACAAGAGACAGGGCCGATGGTCTATGACCACGATCGCATCGCGTTACTTTTGAGTCATCAGTTGTATTAGATTTATTATTATGTTTGTATTGAGTTTGTTATTGCATATTTTTCCTTTGTACCCTCACTCACTTGAAAGAGTAGTCCTATGTAAGCCCTAAGGGGCATGTTTGTCTTTTGTTTCCTTCATTATATGTGGGCTATTTAAAGCCTCCTCATCTTTTGAGGGATGATGAATATTATTACAAATTTTTTTTGCATTGTCTTGGAGAGTTGAGAGCGTGTGAGCGTGTTTGGTGACCCTAGGTGAGGGCACCGCATCACCCACCAACCGTAGGAAGTGTCCAGGTTCGTGGTTCCTCCCTCTTCCCTAAACCCTAAGATCTCCTTCCCCTCCATAGTCGCCGGTCGAGTCCCTACAACCCCTCCAAAGCCGCCTGCCTCCCTCTCTCTTCCCTCCTAGCCGCCGGCCTCAAGGCCACTTTCCCTCCCTCCTCCAAGCCGCCGAACCTAAAAACCCTTCCTCTTACTAGCCGCCGGCCCCAAGGCCTTTTTCCCTCCATCTGGCTGCCGGTCCCCAACCCTAACCTACCCCTAGCCGCCGGCCGCAACTCCTCTCCCCTTGCCTCCAAATTTCAAATTACAACATTAATGCTTTCCATTTATGATGCAAACCACAATAGGAAATTAAAATCTGATTTCTTTCATTTGAAAATTTAAATTTCTTTCATAAACTACTATGATTTATTTTAGGAAGTTTCTTAAATTAAATCTATTTGAATTTTAAATGGGATTTGATTTAAAACAATCTTTTCTAATTCAAGATTCTAAATAGGGCAAGCTTTAAATCCCCCCTAAAAAGCCCCACTCCCCCCATAGCATGCCACCGGCCCCTCTTTCCCTCTCTCTCTCCTACATTAAGTCCATTTCCCCTTTGAGACCCTAATCAACTCCCTCGTCAAAGGAGCGCCCTTCCTTTCCCTCTATATATTTGAAATTTAAATTTTTTAAACTTCCCTTTCTCTCCCAATCAAATGTGAAATTAAACTTCAGATTTTGGAAGTTAACTTCCCTCTCTAGTCTTGGCCGACCACCTAATCTCTCCCTCCACCTCTTCTCATTGGCTCGATATGTCACCAAAAGAAGAAGGAAAAGAAGAAGCAACACCTTCCCCTCTCCAGCACTTTAGGAAGTCTCCCTACCCATGAATTGCGGATCCATAACTTGATTACAGTTTTTTCTACAACGATCAAGGGCAGATTGACATCCTCCAGTCTCCGTTCTTTATTGTCAACTTGGAGATCGACCGGACCGTTAAAGACTACGTCGAAAGGATCATCTTCTCCCTTGCCACCGTTATCGACGAACAATTTCCTCCCACTCAGTGGCAAATCGTTTCCAAACCCTGATAAAGGTGAATTTCTCCTCCAAGTCTTTGCCTTTCTATGTTCTCCCTTTTAAATTGTGGCATCATAAAGGTTGTGCAACTTATCTCCACTTAGCCAAATATTAAGAGTGTGAGCGAGTGGATCCAAGTAGTGTCTAATCAAAATGTTAATTTATGAATTTCCTTTGAAAACTCCTCATGCTATACTAAGCTTGATTGGAATTGATTATTCATTATTCTAACTCTTATTGTATAATTTGGCCTAAGCTTAACTCACATCTTGCTTGTTTTCAAGATTTGTTTAAAATCACTAAAAATTAAATTAATTATTGTTGTTCTAATTTAAAAGGCGTGTAATTTCAAATATTGCTCTCACCTACGCATTTAGTTCTACATCATTTTTGATATCAGAGAATGGTTACATTTAGGTGCCTGCTAGGAAATTGTCTTACATGTTTAGCATCTAAATCGCATCCCGCACAAATTAAAATTTACTTGCTTGTTAGCATATTAATCTCTTTCATACTTGCATAGTTCTGAGTCACCCTTAGACTTAGGATGGACCTGGAACACATTCACAGGAATTTAGATCTGTTGGTAGGTCAAATGAACACTATCAGCCAACAACTTAGAGAAAATCAATCCGACCTAGCTGAGCTCCGTCGCCAAACAACGGAACACTTTGACACACTAGATCTAGTTAGGAATCACCCTACACCTTACACACCTTCTAGACCTCCTTCGTTATATGGGGATGATACCTTACCGGATGAAGGACACCTCCGTGGCCCTTATCGTGCTCCTCAATACGGTCATGACCTTCATAATAACCCTGATATACCTCTGTTGAAAAACATCAAGGTAGATGCCCCAACCTTTGACGGTATCCTCGATCCCCAGCTCTTTCTGGACTTGATCAAGGGCATGAATAGTTTTTTTAAGTGGTACAATATTTCTAAAGCTAAGAAGGTTAGATTCGCTGAAATGAAACTCACTAGTAGGGCTAGTCAATTTTGGGCCAACCTAGAAAGCCTTAAGAGAATTCTAAAAGGTATCCTATCATTGATTGTTTTTCAATGAAGTACGAGCTTAAACAGAAGTACTTACCTCCTTCGTACTTCCCCAAGCTCCTAGATAGGTGGAATAGATTAACACAGGGCAACAAACCGGTGAAGGAGTACATTGCAGCTTTTAATTATTATCTGATTCGCTGCAAGGGGAGACCTCTACTACTCCCGATCAAATTCTGTCCATGTTTCGTACCGGGTTTCGCGAGGACCTGCGCAACGAACTATTTTCCTGGAACGTTACTACTCTTGAAAATGCCTACAACCTAGTGTTAGACCTTGAGGAAACTCATCCCCAACAATCTAGTCGACACCAAGACTCTAGACCTTCCTACCGA